CGCAGGCTGAGATGCCAGAGTGTGCTGGGCTCCAGCTCCAGGCTTGGGACAAAGTGCTCCACACTCTGCAAGGCTCTAACAGTTCGTGGCCTCAGGCAGGTGCCAGGAGCACAGAAAGATGAAACCGGCGGAAAGACAAGCTCAGAGGAAGGACGCCACAGAAAGCACCAGAAAAGCTGGGAACTTTGTTCCCTGGTGTCTCCCAAGTGCTTAGACCTACGCTTGATACCTATGTAGGTGCTTAATAAAAACTGAAACGGGCTGGGCTTGGTGGCTCAGCCTGTCATCCCAGCAATTTGGGAGGCCGAGGCAAATGGGTTTCTTGAGTCCGCGGGTTCGAGACGAGTCTGGGCAACCTGGTGAGACCTCATCTCTACAATAAATAAAAAATTAGCCGGGCATGGTAGCGTACACTACTTGGAAGTACGCTACTTGGAAGTACATGGTAGCGTTCTGGCTGCTTGGAAGGCTGAGGCGGAAGGATTGCGGAGCCCAGCAGGTCAACGCTGGGATGGCCGTGAGCATGCTACTGCACTCTAGCCTGGGTGACAGAGTGAGACTCCAACTCAAAAAACAAAAACGAAAACAAAAAACAAAAAAAAAAAAATGAATTTTTTTATCACTGACCAGTATTGAATACCTGGGGGCCAGTGTTAGCTCTATCTCCACTATAAGTGACAGGGGTTTAAGACCTGGGCAACACAGCAAGACCTCATCTCTCCAAAAAAAAAAAAAAATAAATGATAATAATCATTAGCCAGGCGTGGTGGTGCACAACTGTAGTCCCAGCTACTTGGGAGGCTGAGGTAGAAGGATCGCTTAAGCCCAGGGAGTCGAGGCTGCAGTGAGCCATGGCTGAGCTCTGGGTGGGGGTGGGGCTGTTCCCCGTCTACGAAATGAGGATAATAATGATACAGACCATCAGGGTTGAGCTGAGAACTGCGTGGGCTCCCCCGTGCAGGGTGTCTCTCCAACACTGTCCGATGAATACTGGGCATTGCGACCACCCAAGGCAGACCTGGCCATCCTCTTCCACTCTGCCGGATTTCAATAGAGTGTGGCAAGGCAGTACACTGGGGAGGAGCTCTGTTCTGGGGAAGAAAGGAAGCGCCTACCCACTTGGGGCTTGCCTGTGCCCTGCGTTCCCGCCTTCTGCACCGGGGCAGTGGTGGTGAGGGGAGGGGGCGAGGGTGAACAGCAGATGGGGGCGTCAAAGGACCCTCCCTGTCACTCCCCGTGATTCTCTGAGGAAGGCAGGTGGCCAGGCTGGGGAGTACCCCCCAGTATAGCCATAGGAGCTGCCGTGTGCCCCCCTGCCTCGAGAGGTTCAGTGGGGAGGACGGCGATTGGACTTTGGGGTGCGTCTGTGTAGGAGGGAAGCTTCTCTTCAGGATCTTCACTGGACTATGCCCCCTCTCTGGGGAACCCTGGTAAATTCCCAGGGATTTTGTGCGCTGCAGAGGGTGCAGGGCTGTGCCCTGCCCAGGAGGAGACAAGCTAGCCGTGTGGGGGGGCTGATGCACAGACCCCTGGGATTGAAGACTGAGGCTGGAACCTTCGAAATCTGACCACTCCCAGCAGGGGAGTGAAGCTGGGCTGAATGCATCTCTGGGAAGCTGGCCTGTGTCCAGCCAGACTCCCGGGCAAGGGTGTGTTTAACTGGCAGTGGAGAGGTCTGTATGGGGGAAGTTCCCCTCACTGATAGTCGCTCTGGTAACACGCCTGCAGCCCAGCTGCCCTTGGGGCCACCCTCACGCCCTGCTCTACTGCGCCCAAAGGATGCAAACACTGAACAGACAGACCCCGGGGCCGCCCTGACCTCGTCACCACGACTACTGCTCCCTCCTGCCTACAAGACCTTGGCAGAGGCAGGACAGGAAAGGTCTGAGCCCTTTCCACAAATATTTTGGGCCGAGCACCTCACGGCAGCCCCGGGGACTGCAGAGCCAACGACCCTCTGGCCAGCGCCTGCCGGCCCTCTCCCCGTGTTCAGCCACGGTGATCCACACCGGGTCCACCCCTTAGCCCGCATCCATCACCCCCTGCCTTGAATGTGCCCCTTCCACAGTTGCGCTCTGCAGGTAGCCCTGTGGCGTCTTCCAGCCTAAGGACACTTGCTGTTTCCTCTTTGCCTCAGCACTGCTGACCCTCCCGGCCCGGCTTCTGCAGTGCACTTTCTCCTGGCTTCCCGCCCACTTCTCTGGCTGCCCCTCCCCGGGCTCCTCTGTGACCCCTCTCCCTCTGGCTCCCTGGGCGTGACCCCTTATCCCCGTTTTCCTGAGGATCTCCTGGTTTTCCCATGAAAGGAACCACATCCTGGGAATCTCTCTGTTCAGGGCAAACCGGGACTGCAGGTCACCCGAGACTCACCATGACCCACTGGGACGCCCACGTCTCTTTCTGGCCTCTCTTCTTGCTCATCCTCCAGGCTCTCCCAGGGGGCGTTCACCTACTTCTGTGGCTGCAGCTACCATCTGGGTGGGGGCGAGCCCCACCTCTGGGGTGCCAGCCCAGCTCTCTCCCGAGATCCGGATCCATGAGCTAACTGCCCGCGGGCATTTCTGCTCGGAGGTCTCCTGGTGCCTCCAGTTCACCCCGTCTACATCTGACCTCACCATCTGACCCCAAACTTCTCTTTCTGGTCTCTTGTTGCAATGAAGAACCCCACCATTTACCCATGAACTGCATATCCCAGGCACCTCTTCCAGCTAATGACCTCATCATGTCAATTTCACCTGTCAATCCCTTGCCGCTCTCCAGATATTCCAATCCCCACGGTCATTCCCATAACACAGGTCACCACCAGCTCTTGCTGGACAGTGGGATGCGCTGAATTGTGTCCCCCAAAAGATATGCTGAAACTCTCGGCCCTGGGACCTGTGACTGTGAACCTCATTTGGAGATAAGGTCTTTGCAGATGTAATCGCATTAAGATGAAGCCACTAGGGTGAGCCCTAGGCCAATCTGACTGGTGTCCTTAAAGGAGAGGAAAATGTCACATGAAGCTGGAGACATGCAATGCGTGTAGTCCGTGATGACAAAGGCCTCGGAGCTTGGAGTGATGCAGTTGCAAGCCATGGAAAGTCACCACCAGAAGCTGGGACAAGGCAGGGGCAGTGGCTATGCCCAGTCTCAGAGGGGGCTCAGCCCTGATGACATGCTGACTCTGGACTTCTAGCCTCCAGACTGTGAGAGAATCGATTTCTCTTGTACCGAAGCATCCACTGTATGGCAATACTAGGAAACTAACATCTGGTGTTATGGACAGTTTTCATTTTCTCACTATACTTTTCCATATTTTAGAGATGATCTCTGGTGGATATACACGACTTCTTTGGTTAGAAAAAGCATAGTCATTCTTAAAAAGAAATACCCAGTAAGAAGCCTAAACACCCTCCTGGATTTGTCTCTGAGAATCGAAACTGCCTCCAGCACACAGTTTACTGTCCACAGCAACACAGCTTTACTGTTCTACCGTCTTCATCATCGTGACATCAGTATTCCAGGAAACTCTTGCCCAGGAAGATAAAAGTTGCAAATAATTTTATTGTTCGTCCCAGGAACTTTGCAAGCAACATTTAAACAAAGAGCAGATTGCTCAACTTTTTAACAGACGGCATCTAATGACTCTCCAAGACTCTTCAAACCCTTGCCATGCTGTGTCTACCCAACCTAAACTCTTAGGCCCTTCCCTATCTTAACTGAGCTCCTGCAGGAAAGACCCTAAAAACTCAAGAATTATCTCACCTCTGCACTTGCCTTTCTAAGATGCTTCGAAGATTCTGTCAAGAAAGAATTCTCTCTTACCACAGCAGCAGGAAACCTGGGTCTGCATTATCGGTAGCTGATTTGGTGGAATTTTCAGGCATTTGTATGACATCTGAGTCATTCAAAATATCGCATTTATTGTCTACAACCCCAAAAGGTTAGAAATTATCCCAGAACTGCAGCTGGGGGAAACAGATGCCTTGAACTTAAGTAGCCCAAGGCCCTATCATGAGAAAGTAGCCAGCAGAGCCTTGGTCCAGCAGCCTGCCAAGCCTGTACATTTTTTTTTTTTTTTTTGAGTAGGGGTCTCGCTCTGTTGCCCAATATGGTGACACAATCACAGTTCACTGCAATCTTGACCTTCTGGGCTCTGGTGATCTTTCCACCTCAAATTCCCAAGTAGCTGAGACTACCGGTGTGCTCCACCATGCCTGGATAATTTTTGATTTTTTGTAGAGATGAGGTCTTGCTATATGGTGCCCAGGTTGGTCTCGAACTCCTAGGCTCAAGCAATCCTCCTGCCTTGGCCTCCCAAAGTGCCAAGATTACAGGCATGAGCCACCGCCAAGCCTGCACTGGTAATACCCTCCTGCCTTCCCGAACTTAGTGAGACCGTCATACAAAATACACAGATTCCAGCATCTGGCTATTTTTGGGAACGGATGGTATTCTGCTCCCAATTACCCAGGTAATTGCCTCCAGTGGTCAGACTCCACATCCTCTAGAAGATCTCGCCCAGGCAGGTCTCCTGAGGGGAGTCGCCATAGAGACCGTTTTTCCGTGCAGGCAGCAACAGCCTGAGCCCGCAGGACTTCTGTTTCTCTGCCCTGGGCCTGGATAATGTTAACCATGAAAGGCACACGGGTTCAGGGGAAAACAAGCCATTATACCAGGCAGTCACATTTCCCACAAGGCACTGGTGCAACGCATTAGCAGGGAAGAGAGAAGCGGACCCTTTGTACAGCGGGGCTGGAACACACCAGCTCACTGTTGTGCTTGCGCCTCCATTCAGACGCCATGTGGCACGGACTCCACGCCAACTTGCGGGCCGGATTCTTTTCTTCCCCTTCAGTAGGAAATGTACACATGTGCTTCAAAGTAGGCAGAATTTTGCCCATGGGTGGTCTTTGATTTGGAAGAAACCAACCTCAAAGTGGTGACTCACAAGAAACAAAGGTAGCTTGACTCATTTGGCGTGCAGGCAAGGAGATGAGTGTGCGGAACTCACTTACCCAGAAGAAGAAGTTAAAGACGAAGAGTAAATACTTCAGGTAGACGATCAGCCAGTCGTCCTGCTCCGTCTTGTAATGGGCCATGGTTTCTGGGTCTGCAAAGAAGACACACATGCTTCCTGGGCGAGGGCAAATCCACAGAGAGCAGCTCACCCTCCCCAGAGCCAGAGCCCCTTGGCTAGGCTCCCTACCAAGGGCTTGTTAGCCTGTCTGGCCAGGGCTGGTGGTGGGGGCGAGTTGAGGCTGTGGGTGCACAGCCTGGAGCAAAGATCGGGGAATCGTAAAGGTTACTGACACCCAGTGGAGGTGGGTTTGGGCTGGATGTTCCAGGCCTCTGGGTGTTGGTTTTGTCTCCTTGACTAAGGTCCACCCTACAAGTCTTCCACAGATTTGCACCAGCCTTGTGTTCTTACTCTCTTCCTCCGTCTCGCCAGGGTTGCAGGACACAAGCTGACCTGTCCCCCGCCCATGCCCCGGCTCTCTCTCTCACGCTCAGCACGGCTGCTCAGCATTGGAGACCTGCCTTCCGCATTGCCTGAGCGGGACTCTGCCTCCACAGGTGTGGGTAAGCCCCAGCTCAGAGCATCTGAAAGAACCTCAGTGACCACCCTCTCCATCCCACCTGGCCCCTGAAAATGGCTCTTCAAATGAGGAAGGTCCAGACAGTCCTGGCGGTTGGCAGAGTCTAAGAGTCTCTGAAGTCTGACTCCCTGGGTTCACACCCTGATCTGTCACGACAGGTGTGGCCCTTAGGGCAAGTTCCAAGACTTCTCATCCCTCAGCGTCTTCATCTGTCGATGGGGTCACAATGATACCTACATCGTAGGGCTGTTTTGAAGATTAAACGGGATCATCTATGTGATGTGTTCAACATAGTCCTGGGCACATAAGGAGTGTTCAGTAAATGCTAGCTGTTATTATTACAGGCTGCAGAGCTGGGACCAGAACCCCAGAGTCCAGTCCTAAAGCTCCCCAGCACCATGCTCCCTCTCCTGCCCTGACGCCCATCGACGGGCTCTCTGGCAAGCATGACACCAGTGACGGTGACGGGGACAGAAAAGGCCGCCATGTCCGGCCATCCTGACCTACTCTCAGTAAGTCTGAACCTCAGAAAGTCTGAAGCCTCTGTGGTCGCCTCTTCTTCTCAAGTTCTAGGAATCCCTGGCACCTGCACACCCAGGGTGTGTTGCTGCACGCACAGGACAGTTGCTCTTTAAGAAACTGCCCCCGTTTGGGAACTTGTTTTTATGTTGAACGACAAGGCCTTGGTCTTGGCCGTCTCTCTCCATCACATCAAGCCCTGATCCAGGCCCCCTCATCCTCTGCCGCCTCCTTGGCTGGGGCTGGGCCAAGCCCAAATTACTTCCTCTGAGCCACTGCCCTGCCTTTTATTTCAAGCTTATGGGCTCGCGGAGACAGGGAGAGAAGAAGAGAGAAAAGGTGGCTGTCTTATTTGGGATTTCTATTTGCAGGCCTTGAAGAAGGTAATTTAAGACTTTTAGTGTTCTTGTTAAAAACAGACAAAACCCATTTTTCTCCAGTCTCATTTGAGAGGTAGGGTGGTGGAAGAAATACAGAAGGAGAAAAAAAGAAGCCTGAAAAAAAAATTGGTGATGGATAGGGTTGGCCAGGTGATCGGACGGGAACCGTTCCCTGGCCCTTCTGCAGTGGGGCCCGGTGCGACAGGGCGTGGGCCCCCAGCAGAGCATCTGGGGTCTGACCACTCCTGTCTACAGTCTCAATCCCTCCGCAGTCCCCTCTGGACTCCTGCCTCAAACCTCCTCTCGACTGGCAGCAACGGGGCCTGCTTCAGTCACTCAAACCAAGGGGTCAGGGCCTCTACAGGAAAACTGCGTTTTTTAAAAAGGACTTCAGGCAGAAGACAGGACTTCACGGAAAGAAACACAATTCGGTGGCAAAATTCCAGCCATTCGTGGTGGAGGAGACAGAACCACAGGATGTCGGGGTCAGGGGCAGCCTTCGGGCTCGCTCAATTCAAGCCTTTGCAGAATGAGTGAGGAAATGAACGCATCCGAGTTAGGCCACACGTTTACGATGACTTCTCTAAACACTGGCTAACGGGGAGGTGCCGTTTCTGCTCTCCCACTGTTCAGTGCTGCTCACCTTACGGCATCCCCACCACGTGTGGGGCCCTGGGCTGGGGTGGCAGAGGCCCCCGAGAAGTGTTAGTACCAGCTGGGAGCCGGAGGCCAGGATCTGAACGCTAGTCTTGCCATTTTACTAGCTGGTGTGACCTGGGGCAAGCTGCTCACCCTTTCTGTGCAGCTGACATTTATGGAACATTTATGACGTGCCAGGCACAGAACGAAGTAAGCACTTTATACGTATTATTTTGACCCATCTTCCTGAAACCCCAACATCCCTCTGAACGGGTTATTCCCATTTTGTGATATAACTGCGGTTCAGACAGATTAAGTAACTGGTCCAAAGTTACACAGCAAGGAAATGGCAAAGCCAGAGATGAATGAGAAACCTGCAAACATTCATTTGCTCTGCTGGCCTGGGCTTGAGCTTTTACCTATTGTGCAGACTATCAGGACCGGAGATGCCTTGGCCATGGGGGTGGGCACAGACTGCTGGTTTCTCTCTCTCTCTCTTTCTGTGTGTGTGTGAGTATTTTGAGTCACGGTGTCACTCTGCCACCATGCCCAGCAAATTTTTAAATGTTTTGTAGAGTAGAGGTCTCGCTATGTTACCCAGGCTGGTCTTGAGTTCCTGGGATCAAGCGATCCTCCTACCTCGGCCTCCCAAAGTGCTGGGGTTACAAGCATGAGCCACCGAACCTGGCCAGAAGTATCTTTGCCTTCTCCTTCTTCCTGCTAGTTGGAATGCTGATGTTATAGCTGGAGCTCAGGCAGCTGTGCTGAGCCCTGAAAAGAGCAAAAAATAAGTCCAAGGAGTCTGGGTCTCCAGTGGTCTTAGAGCTGCCATGCCACCATCCCTGAGCTGCTTACCCGCGGATTTAGTTTCATGTGAGAACAACAGGCGTGTGGTTTCTTCAAGCTACATGTTTGGCTGCTCACAGCTGACTTCACCCTGACACAGCAGAGGCAGCAGTGGGTACAAAAGGGGTGCAAGAACGTCCAGGGCTGGGGCACCGCAGGTGGGACAGAAAGACCAGAGGACGGCGTCGGGCAGTGGCTGCCATGCTCTTGACTGCATGTCCCCCCAGATTAACTTATTTACACATTTCATTCACGTACTACTGCCAATCTACAGAGCAGATATTCATCAAAGCCCCATTTTACATGTTGCAAAAGATAAAAATAATTAGGGATAGGGCCGGGCACAGTGGCTCATCCCTGTAATCCCAGCACTTTGGGAGGCCGAGGCAGGAAGGTCACTTGAGACCAGGAGTTCAAGACCAGCCTGGGCAACATAGCAAGACCTCATCTCTATAAAAAATAAAAAAAAAAAATTAGCCGGGGGTGGTGGCACGTACCTGTAGTCCCAGCTGAAGCTGAGACAGAAGGATCATCTGAGCCCAGGAGTTCGAAAATGCAGTGAGCTGGGATGGTGCCACTGCACTCCAGCCTGGGCAACAGAGTGAGACTTCAACTCAAAGAATAAGAATAATAAATAGTTAAGGATTCCACCAAGTTCTCCCTGCACCCCAGCGTACTGTGGATCCACTTTGGGCACCACGGGTGCAGAGCATGAAGGAAGGGGTGAGAGTTGGAGGTCAAGGGTGAGTCAGCTCATGCCCTGAAGGTGAAGAGCCAGGCACAGACCTACGTGCTTCACGTGCATTATTCCGGCCCACCTTCCCAACTCCCCGAGACCCCTATGAATGGGCCATTCCCATTTTGTAATACAAACGAGGTTCAGGTAGGTTAAATAACTCATCCAAAGTCACATGGGGGTGGCGCTCCTTCCGAGACATGGGAAATGGAGAGGAGGGGACAGACACCTGACCGGCCCAGAGGGAGGCAGAGTCGCGACGAAAGAGCCTGGCAGGAAACTGACATCCAAGGAGATTCAGGCGAGCACGGGGCCTGGATGCCAGGGAGGAGAGCGGGCGCCACGGTGCCGCCTGCGGCCAGGAGGTCCCAGGCAAATGAGGGCGGGCAGGGCTCACCTCCATCAGTGGCGGATGGGTGGTGGGTGAGGGACACACCGTGCACCAGAGGCGAGAAAACGGAAACCTGGAAGCGGCTGCCTTCCGGCGCGAAGGTTTGGAGGGAAGCGGGCCGGAGGCCAGGGCGAGGGGCGCTTTGAGGTGGCAGGGAAGGGAGTCTTGGGCAGTCCTGGTTCACTGGCAAAGGCTCCAAAGCCCACTTTGCTCTGCTGCCTCCAGGGACTGGGGAGGGGGCTGCAGGGGGGCGAAGCGGAAGAGTCCTCATTTTGAGCAACCACTCTCGGCCTGTGTCCCCAGCTGTCCCCGCAGACTCCCCCGTCTAGGGCCCCGGGATGCCCCGCAGTGATACATGGGCAGATGAGACAATGGTGCAGTGGCCTGGAGAGGTGGAAAGCAAACACAAGCTGACATGGGCCGAGCTGCCCTCCAGGGAGCCCAGGGACCAGGGCTTGCTTAATCCCCCGACAGCATTTTCACCGAGCTTCGAGGAGTGTCTTATGACTTTGGCAAGCAGACTAGCCTTTCCAAGTGGGGGCTATTTCTGTTCATAGGAGTCAGAAGCTGGGCTTCCTGAGCCAAGGAGAGGAAGCATCCCTAAGGGGGGCGGTCCCCAACACAGCGCAGAATCATGGACACCCTGACAAAGATGATGGAGAGGGACTAAGCCTCCAGACCCCTGGCTTCCGCAAAGCCGAGCTCTCCTTGGACCCCCGAAAGGTCCTGCTGGACCCTAGACCCTCGCTCTGGCTGTGCCCGGATCAGAAACACGCGCTCCTCTCTGCCCACGTTGCAAGGCTCAGAGGGATCCCGCCATCTCTTCCCAGACCCCCATAGCAACGCCCGGAGCCCACAGACCACCACAATGGCCTGGGTTCCCTCCAGAACCTTATTTATCCAACAGCCTGGCTGGTTTCGATGCTGGTAGCTCACTCTGAGCCTGCTGACTGAGCTGTGGGCAGCGGAGTCAGAACCCTCTTTCTGGTCCTGCCCAAAC